GTATCTATAAAATATGAGGCAAAGGGGCAGCTAGGTGGTGCAGTGGATAGAGCACTGGCCCTGAATTTGGAGTACCTCAGTTCAAATCTGGCCTCAAACACATAACACTTACTGGCTGTGTGACCCTGGGCAAGTCACTTAACTCCATTGCCTAGCCAAAAAAAAAATAACAAAATAAAATAAAATAAAATATGAGTCAACCTATTTAAATTATTCAACCTATAATAAAAGAGACTGAGCAGAGCTCTGAGCCAATGGTACTTTATTAAAGAGTCCATGGTCCCCTCCAATGAAGTGGACCTCAGATCTTCCTCATGATCCAAGATGCCCTGTTCTTCCAGGGCCTTATTTTAACAAGGCTTGATACCAAACATTCTAAAGGGCCCACACAAAATAGAGAATCCCATTAGTTGACAGACCTTGCTTCTTGGGCCAAAAATGATACATCAGCTAGAAATGGTATGTCAGTGGGGGTGGGGTAGGGAGGGTGTCTCAGGTTGTCATAGGGCATCTCCACTGACTAAGCGGTCATAAGATGGCTACTTGCTCATGTTGGACAAGAAAGAGTGGTCCAGAGGTACAAAAATAAGTTGGGGAACTTTCCATGTTACCTTTGCCAGGCTGGACTTGGTCACCTCACCATAATAAGGAAAAACAAGGGTAGAGGGCCTCTAATTAGCTTCCTATGATTAAGTAAGTGAACTTACAACCTGCAGTTCACAGTTCTGGGGCCCAATATACAGAACTTATAATCACTATCCTTATGGAATCATATCAAACTGATTAGTACTAATTGGAATAGAGAAGGGGTCCAAATGAATCATTTCTTAACAGTTCTCAGTTGAGAAGGTAGGGGAAATGAGAGCCATGGGAAGTGTGAAGAGGGATAAAAAGGTTTAGAAGTGCTGCTGGGGAGAGTGGGATAGTGAGTTGATAAGGTAATATAGTAGAATTGCAATGAAGGCCCAGTCGTCAATTCAATAGAAAAGTTGCATGATTTCTTTCTGTCTTTATTCAGCAGTGTGTGTGTGTAGGAGTGAAAGCGACAAATAGTAGGAGTGATCCAGGACTGAGGCTTGGTTGGACAGAATGTGAGAAAGATTAAGGGGGCTAGGGAGAGAGGAAAGGAAGATAGTATAGATGTGAATTGATTCACCAAAGGGTCAAGATGGGGAAAAGAGCAAAGAGCGGTTAGTGCAGCAGAGAAAATAGGCCAAAGAAGAGGAGAGGATTGAGGGGTCAAAGGACTGGGGGTCATGGTGTGGAATGTGAAGGGAATTGCGATTTTCATATTAATCGATGTGATACGTGTAGTGAAGATAATAGATGAGATTCCCAGAATTGCCTCTTCCAGTTTGAGTCAGACAACACAGCTTGAAATGATCAATCAAACCTTGACAGTGCTCACAATCACTGCATTCTTGTGCTTGTGTACTTTGAGTGAAATGAATCAAAATACAAGACTTAAGAGAAGCATAAAAAGGTAAACAAGGAAGGGAACTCATGAAGGACTTAGTAAGATTAAACTGTTTACATTCTTACATGGGAAGATGATGTTTGTAACTCATAAGACCTTTCTCATTATTAGGGTAGTTAGAAGGACAGAGGGCATAGATGTGAATTGAATATGAAAGGATGATATGTTAAAAATAAAATTTAGGGGTGAGAGTAATGTACTGGGAGAAAGAGAATTATCTCATATAAAAGAGCCAGGAAAAAGCTTTTACAGTAGAGAGGAAGGGGTGGGGGAGGTGAGGGGAAGTGAGTGAACCTTACATACTCTCATCAGAATTGGCTCAAAGAGGGAATAACATACATAATCAATTGGGTATAGAAATCTATCTTACACTACAGGAAAATGGGAGGGGAAGGGGATAATGGAAGTGGGGGGGTGATAAAAGGGAAGGCAGATTGAGGGAGGGGGTAGTCAGAAGCAAAACACTTTTGAGGAGGGACAATGTGAAAGGAGACAATAGAATAAACAGGGAGGGGGCAATGGGATGGAGGGAAATACAGTTAGCAATAGTAAGTGTGAAAAAAAATTTTGAAGCAAGTTTCTCTGATAAAGGTCTCATTTCTTAAACATATAGAGAACTGAGTCAAATTTATAAAAATGGTAGCCATTCCCCAATTGATAAATGGTTAAAAGATATGATCAGTTTTCAGATGAAGTAATCAAAGCTCTCTACAGCCATATGAAAAAATACTCTAACTCACTATTGACTGGAGAAATGCAAATTAAAACAATTCTGAGATACTACCTCATACCTATTAGATTGGCTACTAGGAGAGAAAAGGTAAATGACAAATGTTGGAGGTGATGTGGGAAAAATAAGACATTAACGCAGTGTTGTAAGAGTTGTGAACTGATTCAACTATTCTGCAGAGCAGTTTGGACCTATGCCTAAAAGGCTATAAAACGATGCATTCCTTTTAACCTAGTAATACCACTACTAGGTCTGTATCCCAAAAGAGATTTTTAAAAAAGTAACAGAAAAGAAAAGGACCTATATTTATAGCAGCTCTTTTCTAGGGGCAAAGAATTAGAAATTGAGGGGACAGCCATCAATTGGGGAATGGCTAAATATGTTGTGGTGTATGATTGTGATGGAATACTATTTTACTATAAAAAATGATGAGCAGGATACTCTCAGAAAAACCTGGACTTGCATGGGCTGATGCAAAATGAAATGTACTGTGTACAAAGTAACAGTAACATTATAAGCTGATCAGCTGTGAATGACTTAGCTATTCTCAGCAATACAATGATCTAAGATAACTTTGAAGGACTTATGATCAAAAATGTTATCCATCCCCAGAGAAAGAGCTGATGATGTCTGAATGCAGACTGAGGTATACTTTTTTTTAACTTTATTTTTCTTGAGGTTTTTTTTTTGGCCTATGTTTCCTTTCACAACATGACTAATATTTTGCATGACTACACACATATAACTTATATTGAATCACCTGCCTTCTCAATGAGGGGGATGGGGAGGGAAGAAGAGAGAGAATTTGGGACTCAAAGTTTTAAAAATGAATGTTAAAAATTGTTTTTACATGTAACTGGGGAAAAATAAAATACTAAATTAAAAAAGAAAGGGGAAACTCATACACACACACACACACACACACACACACACACACAGAGTGAAATGAATCAAAGATTGTAGAATCTGTTCCTGTCATAGAACTCTGGTCCTGTGATTCACCGAGTAACAACCCCCAAAGACTTGAGCAATATTGTTCCTGAAGTACTCTGGAATTGTATTTTCTTCCACTTGTCGACTTTTCATGGGAAACCACTCTGACCCTGAGAAATGACTGTTTGTAATCCACCTTCCCCCCTTCCTTCCTACTTGTGATTTATGTATAAAATCTCTGACTTCACTTCTGCAAGGTAGAATTTTTTTTATTTTAGGCAATTGGGGTTAAGTAACTTGCCCAGGGTCACACAGCTGGTAAGTGTCAAGTGTTTGGTCTGAAGCCGAATTCGAACTCAGGTCCTCCTGACTTCAGGGTCGGTGCTCTATCCACTGCTAAGGTAGAATTTTGATCAAGAGAATTCCCAATTTGTAAATCTGTTCCTCATAATGAAACTAATTAATTAAACGGCTACCTGATTACTGGTACTTTGTCTCTGGCTTGCTGTTTCGTCATTCTCTGGTGGTTAGAGACTGGCTGAGTAAAATCTTGCTCGTAGGAGAAAATAACAGAAGACCGAAGAAGAGGTGAAGAGCCAACAGACAGTAGTCAGATAAGGGGATTTCTGGATTCCTGAATGTGGAGGTGGTACATCTGTGGCAAGATTAAGGAAATGACCATCTTTGTGGCAGAGAAACTTCTGTCAAATGCCCACTTGGCATCAAAGTGTATTAATATTTACAATATTTTCCTATGCTTTAATAGAGGGAGAATTATAGATCAAAAAGAGAGGCAACTTCGGAGTCAGTAGGACCTGGGCTCAAGTACTATCTCTGACATACACTAGCTAACTGCCTAAGGTTCTAAACATCTTTAAGATTGTATATTAAAGAGAAATGACTAGTACGCACCTGATCTGAGCAGGGAGTTAGGTCTATACAAATCATCGTAGCAGTAATAATAGTAGTAGTGGTAGTAGCAGCAGCAGCAGCAGCACCAGTAGCAGTAGAAATTAAGTTTATGGTGGTAATAGGAATTCTATGATCTGGCTTCTAGGAATTCTCTCCAAAAGGAAATGAATTAGCCTGGCATAATTTGTTCTGCGTCAACCCGTGCTAGAATCAGGGATAGTCTAAACTCCTGGTGACTATTGCTTCCCCCTTCTAAGTGAGTACAGTGTCAAAAATACTGGAAAAGGAATCAGGACACCTAGTTTCTACTCCTCTCATTAGCTATAGGTTTGGCCTTGGCCAAAACAGTTTGCTTTCTGAGTCTCAATTTCCTTTTCTGTAAAATAAGGGAGCAGAACCACATGGCTTCTAAGGTCCCTTTCATTGCTAAATCTAAGATCCTGCGACATGGCAGGAGCCTACATAAATCAAACAACCAATCAATTAACATTTATTAAGTGCCTGCTATGTGCCAGGCCTGATGCTAAGTAGTAGGGATACATAAAAAGATAAAATGCAGACCCTGCCCTCAAGGGCAAGAGTCACAATCTAATGGAGAAGATAACATACAAACAAATATGTACAAACTATATACAGAATAAATAGGAGATAACTAAATGAGGGAAGGTGCTTGAATTAAGAGGGGCTGGGAAAGGCTTCCTGTCAAAAATGGGATTTTATTTAGGACTTGAAGGAAGCCAGGGAAGGCAGTAGGCAGAGATAAGGAGGGAGAATGTTCCAGGCATGGGGAATATTCAGAGAAAGTGCCAAACTAATATTTTATCACGTCAGGACTAACACTAATTCTGTCTTTGAGTTTCAGTGCCACTCACTAGGGCTTACTTGAACTTTTAGAAGTTTCCTGCATGAAACATAAAGTGGAAACCTTGTGGGCAATGTTCTTCTCAAAGAATGTTAACAAAAGGGCCACAATTTTTTTTTTCTGGGTGACTGTAGTCTTCCGGGCTCTTCAGCTTTCAGTTCCTCACTAGGATCTTATCTTTTCCAGCCGAACCAAAGACTTCCCCACAAGTCTCAGGACCTTACTTCTCAGAGCAGGTATGTATCTTTGATGTTGATTCCTTTCCAGTGGAACTCAGGAAACTACATCTATAGACAGATATAGCACAGTCCCTGCTCTCAATCAACTTACAACCCTAATGAGGGTTGTGATGGAGTGGGGTAGGTTTCCTTTTTGCCCTTTCTTGACAGAAACACTGAGTTTTTGAATAAGCTTCCATTTAAGTAACAATCTAATGGAAAGTGGTATCTAACTCTAATATTTTACTGTCCTTTAGCCCAAATTTTGGGCAAGGACACCCAAAAGACAAGATCCTCCCTGTCTTGGACCTCTGAAGCCAGTGACAGAGTAACATACAGGAAAGTTTCTCTCCTCACCAACCATAGAACATAAGAAACTGCTCCCTGGGATGATGACTGACCATTGCTGTAATTCCAGCATGCCTAACTATGATCTTATTAGCCTATGGGATTTCTGTATATTAGAAATAACTGTGGGAAAGTAGCTTATATTCAAAAGCCTGCTTGTCACACCATGGAGGATCTCTCTTTTATGAATCAACTGATGCTTCTCTCTATCTTCACTTATAAATAATAATAATAATAATAATAATATTAATATGTTATTGTTTGCAAACCTCTTTAAATGTGTTCATTTATTTGATCCTCACAACAATTCTAGGGAGATAGGTGCTATTATTATCCCCACTTTACAGATGAGGAAACTGAGTCTGAGAGGTTGAGTGACTAGCCCAAGTTAATACAGCTATTCAGGATATGGGGCAGGATTTGAATTCAAGTCTTCTTGACTCCAAGTCCTGTGTTCTTTCCACTGTACCACCTGGCTGCCTAATTGATGGAAAAAAATAAAACCTTTTTACTGTTTTGCTCCCTATGCTGAAAACTGTGCTTTTCTTTCTGTAATAGGGCAAGGACATATGTAGCTTTGATACAGGGGAAAATGAGATTCATGCAAAGGAGATGTATGGGGAAAGTGCTATGAGAAATTTGAGGTGGGGAAGCTCACATTTACCAGGGGAAAAGAATCAAGGAAAAGGTAACATCTGAGCAGGGCCTGGAAAAAAAGGGAAGGACTTCAGTAGATGAGAGAGTTGGGAGAGGGGGGGGATGTCAAGGGAAGCCATATTCAAAGCATGGGGGAATGTGAAAGTAAAGAGAAAGACAAACGTGGGTTTATAAACATTAACTCAGTTTGCCTGGAAAGTAAAATTCATGAAGATAAGTTTTGAGACATTGGAACCAAGTTGTGAAAGATCTGGCATACCAGGATCTCCTGGCATGATTATATTTCTCTGGCAGTCATTATGGCGCCCCCTTGAAGTTTTCTAGAAAAAGAAAAAAGAGTCATGGGAGCATAATGACACATTAAGAAGACTGATGGTCAGCTAGGTGGTGCAGTGGATAGAATGCCGGCCTAGAATCAGGAAGATCTGAGTTCAAATCCAGCCTCAGATACTTAATGTGTGACCCTGGGCAAGTCTCTTAACCCTGTATGCTTCATCTGCAAAATGAGCTGGAGAAAGAAATGGCAAACCACTCTAGTATCTTTGCCAAGAACACCCCAAATGGGGCCACAAAGAATGGGACATGACCAAAATGGCTGGACAACAACAAAAGATTGATATGACAAAGTTTAACCAAAAAGGTAGGTTGGAGTTAGTCTGGTCTACCAATATTTTCATTATAAACAAACCCTATTGAATTCAACAGGATAATTAAATTTGTTTTCAAAATGCTCCATGAGGTAGAAGAGACATTTTGTGTTGTTGCTAAATCAAGCTTGGGAGTTCATTAGATTTTGTACATTATGATACGAATTTTACCTCATCTTCTGTGTAATCTGCACTTTCCTGCCATTACACAGAGTTCCCTTGTGGCAATACCTGAAGTGTCCCATTGGTTTGGATTCTAGCTTTAGTATTACTACTTGAAAGCAATCAAAGAAATGAAGTATGTCTTTATTTGATTTTGTCAGCAGTTCCTTTTGGAGTGAGGGTATTTTCTTCTTGAATTTGTGCTCTGTGATATAAATGGATGATGGGGCTCGCCCGTGATCGACGGTGTCCTTTCAACTTTGGTAAATATTTGCAATGTAAAGGCATGATTCTGCCTCATTAAAATGTGGGTGACATGTGAGTGAGTTGAGGGGATGACATGGGCAGAACTGAAATTAAGAAAGACCCTTTACCAACTGAGTAGAAGGTAGTTTGGAGAGGGAAGTACAGTTGGGGGAGAGAAAAGAGGTCAGGACAGACTTTTAGGTGACACCCACAGATAATAGATTTGGCATGTGTGAAGATCTAGGAATTTTTGCTTAGGAATGGTCAGACAGGAGGAGAATCAGGAGAGAACAGAGTCATGGAAACCTAGAGAGAAGGGATTATTTAGGAGGAGAGTGATCAATAGTATCAAACCCTATAGACAGTTCAAGAACTAAGTGGATTGAGAAAAGGTCATTAGACCTGATTTGGTACTTGCTAGTCAAGAGATTGTTGGTAACTTTGAACAGACTGTTTCAGCTGAAGGATGAGGTCAGAAGTCACATTGCAGAGGGTTTAGAAGCAAATGAGAGGAAAGAAAGTGGAGGCTCCAGATGTAAAAGGCTTTCTCAAATAGCCTACAAAAAGGCCTGTTTACTTATTTATTATATTGAGTCATTTAATGAGATGGATCCCTGTCAATAACTTTGTAGGTGTCTGTGGCCCATATATTGAAAATTACTGACATAAAGTTTTTTTTTATTTGTATCAGTAAAAATTACAAAACACTGAAATATAAAGAAAGGGTCATGGGATCATAGGCATAGAGTTGGAAGGGACCTTAGAGACCATCTTTTCCCACTCCATTTTGTAGAAAAGAAAACTGAGGTCCATAGAGTTTAAGTGATTTATATAAGGTCAGTTTGATGCTATTCTCTTAAAGTAGCAGGAACAGAACTGGAACCCACATTCTTTTCCTTTACATCCAACACTACTTAAAAACTTTAGCTTGCTTTTCAAAATACATGCACAAGACCAAACCAATAGATTATGATCTCCTTGAGGGAAGAGATTCCTCCTAATTTTATCATTGTATCTAGAACACTGCCTTGAATACAATAGGCATTTAATATATGCTTGTGGAAATGAATAAAATTGGAAGAACTAGTTAGTACTTAAATATATGATGTTCTAAGAATAAATATGTAATAGAATAAAATATTAGGTACTGGAAGCTAATAGAACAGATTAGCATCTGTGAGTTATTGTTACTATGACTGCTTCTCTCATTAATAATGTTTTACTTTACAAAAACATCCAGACATTGTGCAAAATGATGCTATTATTATACACAGATACCTAATGAACTGTTTATCAACCAAATTATTTTTACTTCCTTGTAATTACTATAAAATAAATTAGATGGCTTACCACCAATCAAACTTAGTTAAGTTTATCCCAAATAGATATTTCCATTATTATTATGCTAACCTTTTCTTCATACTCATGGCCCACATGTAAAGAATAGATAAGTGTGTGTTCAAAGTTGGTTGGTTGGTTTGATGGTGTGAGAAATGATTCATTTGGATCTCTACTTCATTCCAATCGATATTAATCAGTTCAGTGTGGTGCCATAAGGGGTAATAACTATTAGCAATTATTGGTAATGTACTCATCAAGTAATATACATTTAGTCAGTCATCCAGTAATTATACAAGAATAAACATGTATATATATACATTTACTCATGCAAACATGAATAAATGTATGTTAAATAGATACATATTTTACATAAATTGTATAGGAATGATTAGATAAGATAGGTTCCTATAGTAAGCCTTTATAATAAGCCTCAAACTTTAAATCTACTGATCACCATTTGTTTACTAGTTATGAAGCCCACTTGCACAACCAAAGAATGCTGACAAAGGTATATCCATCCTACCATGTCCAAGCCCAGCATGGCTGGGACACTTTGGCGTAATATAGAAGTCCCCCAATTTGTTATTGTATCTCCTTCCCATCTGTACCATCTCTCGATCAACATGAAGAGGAACCTCTCCATCTTATGATCACTTAGTCAGTGGAGATGTCCTGTGTTTTGCCCAATCCATGACCCCCCCACCTGATAAATCATTTTTGGTCCTTAAGAACAAGGTCTAGCAACCAGTGAGATTTAATGTCTTACTTTGCCTCTTCTGAACATCTAGATATCAAATCTATAAAAATAAGACCTTGGGGACCAGGGGGCATATCAGATCGTGAGGAAAGTCTGAGGTCCACTTCATTAGAGGGGGCCAGGTCCCTTTAATAAAGCATTATTGGCTCAGAGTTCTGCCTCAGTTTCTCTTACTGTAGTTTCGGTATTTTGGGCCCCACACCTGTCCTTAATTCTCAAAGAAAACCAAAATGACATCACTGTTTTGGGGTCAAGGTACAGTGTGTCCAACCATGGCTTATCAGATCAATACAAGCTCAGAAGGCTCTACCATAGGTCAGTCTTAATGAACCACTTTCCCCATTGGCTATATGAGTACTAGCCCCGTCACTTCACCAAGTGAAGATCATACTAAAATAGCCAAAGTTATAAGGCAGTATAACAGAAATTAGCAGTGAGCTTTTGATTGGTTTCATGACATGAAATATAAATATTTATACTTAAAAGACTTATTAGAAAAAAATAAATTCTGAGAGGGATGACATACCAAAGACTAATATCAAAGAAAATCTAAGGATGTTGGCAAGTTGAATTAAATAATTAGCTGATGTTAGGGCAGAAGAGACTTATACTTACAATGTCCTCAAATTATTTCCAGAAATAAGTGAGCAGCAGGCCTCCAAATCTACAGTAGCTTCCCGTTATTCTTTTACAAAAAGACAAAAAGGAAGCCTCATACAAATGAGGAACAAATATACAGCAAGTGGTAAGTTCTGGACCTTATGTGCTCTCTCAATAGGCCTACATACTGAGACAAATGATTCTTTCTGACCAACCATATTATTATAATATTCGATTTCCAAGTAAGTGTTAATTGTTTCTATATTGTCCTTAAGCGTGAAATAAGCTCTGACAAAATGGTGGAAAAGAGAACATTATTAGGACAAACAACTGGGCAAATTAGAGAGGTTTTCTTTGTCATTAGAATGAAATGGAATTTTTTAATTGAATCAGGTGGCATAGAAATAGCTGATAACTCAGAAGAACTCATAAAGAAAAAAGTGTGTCAATCTCCTCCTCATGTTCAGTGGGTTCAGATGTATAAGTTCTAGATTAATTCCCCTAATCCCAAAGCTTCTTACTCCCTTTACCTTTTCTTTTGCTCAGTGTCTCATTTTTCTTTTGGTAGAATCTCTACTTTTTCTCCGTCGATTCATTGCAGTGGGAATGGGAATAAGGTTCTTCGTCATGCTGGCCATGTTAAGCACCATATTCATCTACTGTAAGTAATGGCAGAGAAAGCTTAATCATGCCAATATTATGCACTAGGCATTCATTTTCTTTTACATCACTCAATTCCCAATAAGTGAATAAGTTAAATGAGTTTCAAATATGTCACTAATAATTATAAATTTTTATCATTGAATGGACAACTCTTAAAGTAAGTTTTTGATATATTCATACATACACGTACACACATAGAGGCAAAGAGCATAGCGGCATATTTAGACTGTAGACTCAATGTTGATCCATTAGATAGGCTTTGTGAGTGGGGTGGAAGAAAGAAAATGAAGTAGAATGAATTTTTTAAAATTGTGTCTATCATTTTTTCATATAGATAGGATGGTTTGTCCATCAGCACAGATTTTTAACACTAAAAAGCTTTGAGATGGATTCAAGTAATCTTGATAAGAGGTAGGTGGATGTTTCACCATTCCACTCTGCTTAAAGCACTTAGCTAATGTTACTAAATATTCCAAAAACATAAACTAAGAAGATAGGTGATATAAGTATAGTTAAAAGCTAAAACAAATGTAGTTATTAAGATATAGTAAATGATCATTTCAGCCAGCTGAACACTGAAAAGTCAATGTGGTATGGTAGAAAAGGCTTTGGAGTAGAATTTAGGAAAATCTGGATTCAAATCCCATCTCTGAAACTTACTAGCTGTGTGAACAGTAGGCAAGTCATTTAAGTTATCAAAACCTCAGTTTTCTCGTCATCTGTAAAAATAGGGATAAAAATACCCTAGGTGCCATCTCTTGCCAAGTCCTATCAATTCTACCTTTGCAACATCTTGTATATTCCCCCTTCTCTCCTCTGATACTATCACCATTCTGATATGGACCCTCATCACCTCATGCCTGGGTTATTGTTAAAGCCTGCTGGTTGGTCTCCCTGTCTTAAATCACTCTGCAATCCAGTTAATCTTCCACTCAATTATGAAAGTGATTTCTCTGGTCTGACCTGTTCACCCCCTTATTAAAAAAAAACTCCAGTGACTTCCTATTACTTCAAGGATCAAATATAAAATCCTATGTTTGGCTTATAAAACCCTCTATAATCTGCCTCCTCTATATTTCCAGTTTTCTTATACCTTACTTCCCTCTCCCCCACAATCCTTACATACTCAGAGATCTCAGTGACATTGGCTTCTTTGCCATTGTTCCTCACACAAGGCAGTCCCGCTCCTCTCTGTTCGTATTCACTGGACGGATATCTGTCCCCTATGCCTGGAATCCTCTCCCTCCTCATCTCTGCTTCTTGGTTTCCCTAACTTCCTTCAAGTTAGCTAAAATTCCGCTTTCTGCAAGAAGCCTTTCCTGATGATTGCCCTTAATGCTAATGCCTTCTCTTTGAGATCATCTCTAATTTATCTTGTATACATCTTGTTTGTGCACAGATGTTTGCATGTTACCTTTCCCATTAGAATGTAAGCTAATTGAGGGCAGGGACTATTTTGTTTGGCACATAGTAAGTGCTTTATAAATGCTTGTTGACTTGAGTAGCACTTCAAAGGGTTTTTGTGAAGTTTAAGGTTTTACATCTTTTCTTTATATCTTTAAGGTTTTAGGTTTATGTCTTTACTAGATCTAAAGACCTTTGAAGTACTCTACAGAAGTCATTTATTATTATTACTCTAAAGAATGCTATATTCTACATAAGAGGTAGCATTTTGAAAATAATAGCTGATATAATGCTCCAAGCTTTGCTCTTTTTACTCACTAATTTTCCATGATGGTTGGGGGGTGGAGGGAGAGAGAAGGAAATACCTTTTGCTACTTGGAACTGCATAATCAACTTATTTTCATACACTTTTATTTGAGCAGGTCAGAGGCATCTTATAATAGTATATATCTTAGAAATAATGCAAATAAAGTGAAACACAATCTTAGGCAAAGCAATCTAGTAATGTTTTGTGTCATTTATAAATCACAAGCACAATCATTGACATCTGTAGCTCAATTATTAGCATTTTTTTAAATCAAAGTATCATATACTGTTTATACTCTGGGACAATTACATGTAGATAGAAGAACAGTAATCGTAAAAAGTGTAGCTTAACAGTAACTTGAAATATTCTAAAAATATAAAATAAGAAGATGGGTGGTGTGAGTTTGGTATTCTTCAGATGAGTAAGATGATTAAAAAAAAAAGATGATGATAATGGTGATGACATAGCAGGATTCCTAATAATCATGGTTCTTTCTATAACAGCTTCCAACCCAAAGGCTCCAAGCAACACAAATGGTAGGTGGAAGCTATTTATAGTTTCATGAGCCAATAATTTAGAATACTTGAGAATGTAGACATGCTATGGGGCTAAGCAGAAAAGCAAAAGGTCAATCCAGCTTAGTTCTAAGTCATATTTTCAGCTTTCTCCTAGCCATTGGTTATATCTTTTACCTGTTATTATGCCAAAAAGAGGAAAATATCAGGTCAATCAGGGTAATTTCTAGCATATTTAGTGAAGAGTACTTGTGTAGATGTATGGGGATGCTGGAATAGACATGGTGATTTTTGTGTGGAATTAAAATGTCATGTAAAAGCTATGGGGTTTTCTAGGATTGATAAAATACATTCTCTTTCTAGGATTTTACTGTGGCCCATGTCCTAAGAATTGGGTTTGTTACAAAAACATCTGCTATCTATTTTCTAATGAAAGCAAAAGTTGGGATCACAGTCGAGCTTCCTGCCTATCTCACAATGCCAGTCTCCTTAAGATATATAGTAAGGAGGACCAGGTTAGATACTTGCTTAAATTTCCCCTCCTGAAAGTATACACATTGTTGCACACATATAATCTCCCAATTCTACACGGAAGAGAAGGAGGGATATTTTCTCTTCTTTTCTTTGCGTCCAACTTGCTCATTATAATTATATTGTATATATGTTTTGATTTCATTTTATATTATATTTTAATTATAATTTGTAATTATAATTATATATTGCTCATTATAATTATACATAAGTATTCCTTTTCATTGTTGCTCTTTCCACTAACATTGTTAAAGTGATTGTATACATTGTTTTACTGTTTCTGCTTATTTGACTCTGTAATACCATAAAAATCTTTCCATTTTTCTCTGAATTCTTCCTGTTTATTTCTTATGACTTAGTAATTTTCCATTACCTTCATATACCACAGTTGGTGTCCCTACTCACCAAATGATGGGCATCTAGTTTCTTTCAAGTTCTTTGCTATTAGAAAAATATGCTGCTATAAATATTTTAGTGTATATGGGTCATTTCTTTTTATCTTTGTCCTCCTTGGAGGATATGCCTAGATATATGATCTTGAAGTCAAAGTGTACGGACATTATAGTCACTTTATAAGCACTATTCTAAATTGTTTTCCATAATAACTGGACCAATTTACTGCTCCATTATTAGTGTTTTTAAGTATGCCTGTCTTTCTATGACTTTCAATATTGACTATATCAATCCTTTGTCACCTTTGTCAATTTTCTAGAGAAAAAAAATCTCAGGGTTGCTTTGATTTGCATTTATCTTAGTAATAACTTGGAGCAACCTTTCCCATTAATAATTTGAAACTTTTCATTTGAGAACTCTTTGTTCCCATCCTTTGATCACTTTTACATTGTCAAGTGTCTCTTGTTCTTATATGTTTGTATTTTTTCTTTACATGTCTATGTATCAGACTTTTATAAGAAACATTTGATGTCAGAGTTTCCCCCCCAGTTGTCAGCTTCCTTTGTTTATCCTAGTTGCATTAATTTTGTTTATATACATGCTTTTCAATTACATGCAATAAGCTTATCTATTTTAATTTTTGTGATTAAACTAAACTTGTTATGGTTTGTTTCAAATTCTCTTCCATCTAGTGGATGGCACAATAGTTTAGAAATATTAATTCCCAAATAATCATTCTGACTCTGAGTAAATGTATTCTTGGGATGCTGATGATGCTTCTATTGAAAATTTAATTAAACGATGTCAAACTATTAAGTAATTTGTAGGTGCCATAGAATATTTATGCAGCATTTTATTTAGTTGCAATTGCCTAAAATTGTCCTCAGGAAATATAATTGATGGAAGTATATGTTTTTATTTTTGATCTACCCATATTGTATTCATATGGCCACAATTATCCTATGGTTTAGTTTTACCCAGTAAGAAGAAGTAATCTGGTTTTGATATTTCTATTTGAAAAGAAAGAGACCAGTGGCATGTGGTATCTTTGTTGAACATTTTATTCCCTTTACCATATAATACAATGGTCACACACACACACTCACACACACACACAGAGAAATAAAGATATATTTTCAATATAATTGGGTAGGGATTTAAACAAAATGGGTATCAGATTGCATAACCACTAGTACTAGCAAAAAAGAATTAATTATGGGTTTATCTGTGATAACCATGTTGTGCAAAAATGCAGTTCATGGATTTTTAGCTTTTCTGGCTTGTTTTAAACAGGATTTCCTTACACTGGTAAAATCATACCACTGGATGGGACTAGTACAACCTACACCCAATGGGTTCTGGATGTGGGAAGATGGTTCACCTCTCTCTCCTGACCTGTAAGTCTCTAATATTTTGAAACATACTGAAGTATATTAAAAAGTCATCTAGGTAGCAGACAGGGCACTGGATCTGGAGTCAGAAAGTATGACCCTGGACAAGTCACTTAACTTCTCTCTGCCTCAGTTTCCTCATCTGTAAAATGGAGACTATAATAGCCCCTATCCCTAGAGTTGCTGTGAGGATTAAATGAGAATATCGATAAAGCATTTTGCTAACCTTAAAGCTTTACTTGGGAATTCTTAACCTGGGGTCTGTGAACTTGTTTTAAAAAATATTTTGGTTACTGGTTTTCAATATAATTGGCTTCTTTTGTAATCCTTTGCATCTTATTTTATACACTTAAAAACATGATTCTGAGAAGTCGATAGGCTTCACCAGATTTCCAAAGGGATCCATGACACAAAAAAGTCCTAGAACCCATGTTCTATATAATGTTAGATATTATTATTAAGTCTTGTTTTCAACTCTGTGGGTTTGCTTTTTAGTTAGTATTTTCAGTATCCTTGTCATTATTATCTTTTCCTCCTCACACTGGAATGCTGATGGAGCCAGAGTAAAAAGAGTAGTCTTACAGCCAAGGAAGAAAGGGGGAAGGCAAAAACTTCAGACCAACCACCATCCTCATGACCACATTTACATAGAACTTTAAGATTTGCAAAGCATTGTACATGTTACCTCATTTAATTCTCAACAGACTTGAGAGGTATTATTATACCTCATTTTGTTATCAGTCTTATTTTACAGATGAAGAAATTGAGACCGAAGGAAGCCAAGTGTTTTGCCCAGGACCAAATAGCTAAGTGGCTGTGGTGGGATTTGAACTCAGGGCTATTCTAACCCCAAGTCTTATTTACTTTACTTACCCACTGTTGCCCACAACCAGATAGTACACTGAACGGAAAGGCATGAAATAAGACATGAAGAAGTGGACCAGGCAGAGCAGAAAAACTGACTCAGTTTATTTTTCTGAGGGTACAGGATATATAGAGAAAATCCATCCTAACTTCAGAGTCCTCCCCGTGAGACACTCCTGAAACATCTGCTAAGGATGTGACAACATAAAGTTCCTCCTTATCAGAGTTCCCAGATAGAGTTGTAAATTCCAAGGCTTTTTCCTGGCGCCTGTATAGAGGAGTGAATATGTAAATCTAAGGTTCAAAGAGTGAGAAGGAATGTCTCAGGAACCTCAGAACAGGGAAAGATTGGAGAGCCGAGCTTCTTAATTATTGAGCCCTTAGGGCAAAAGCCTGGGCAAAGGTCAAACTCTGTCCTGGATCTTAAACCCATATCAGACTCTTAAGATTGGCCCTCTACAACCCACTGTCCTAGCTGGCTTCCACCATAACCCTTGGAGCTTAAAGAACACCCTCATCTTCTTAAAGTTTATGTAAATTGTTTAAGTCTCTTGTATTTCTTGGTCATTCAATAGGTCATTCTTAGGACAGCAGGGACCCTTGCCTACACACTGCTGACAACCAGAGATAATATACTAGTTATGTCAGTGTTAGGAAGGTAAGACTGAAGAAACTGACCTAATCAGTTCATTGTTCTTTAAGCTCAAGGAACAGTAACAAATTCACAGCAATTTACAATCTCTATCTATTCTCTGCTTCTCTCTCCTAGTGTAAATGAGATGAGCTTACTCTCCAGCCAGGGAATGCTTTCAAATTTTCTTTTTCTGGTTTATTTAAAGTTGGCTTGTATTTCCCATTGCAAAAGTAAAATCATCCTACGCTGGTTTTCTGGCCTTTACACTTATTACCGTCGCATCCAAATAAGTAAATTAATAATACTATCCCAACACCTATGTCTAATTGTCACAACTATTCTTTACTCTCTCCAACTGTGTCCTTTATCTTTTTTCAGTGGGTACTACCATTCCACCTCACTCAGTGCCTCAAGAGTTTGGACTTACCAATATTTCCATAGTTGGCCTTGGAATGACTTCCTTCCTCACAGTTTGAAATTTTTCACTGATGTGAACGTGAATAGCAGAGGTTCCTCTGTGTAATTCCACAAGCTCCCCATTGTGGAGTCTTACTGCCTCCCATACAAAGGGAAATATGGATATGGAGGGAGGGAGATAGATATATTTTTGTTTATGTGTGCATATGTATATATATATATATATACATATATGTATGTATGTGTATATGTGTGTATACATATATATGTGTGTATGTGTATGTATATATAGATATCCATCCAAATGCACCTAACGCACAGTAATGCATGGCATATACTAAAGACTTAATAAATGCTTGTTCACTTGATTTATTGGCCTAAAATTACATTTCTTTCTGCTTGGTTTTGATTGGATTTTAATAGCAGGTTCCTAGCTTAATTGTTAAATTTATCTTCCCACCTTCTTAGGGAGAACAACTAGCCAGAATGTAGACCTCTCATTCTGTTAAATTTTACAGCGACAGCATCACTATTTCTTGAGTATTTCATTCGTTACTTTCTGGCCCAATAGATAACACTATTTACAGTACATAGAAGGCACTGCAAAATTTCTAGCAAAATCATATAGAACCATTTGAAATGAGATAATCAGAATGGGAGTTAGGAGACTAAGATTCTACCTTCTGTCAAGTCAGGTCCAAAAGCATTTATTGAAATGGATATTTTGTCTCTAGCACTATGCTATTAGCATTATGTAGAATCGTAAGATCATAAATGTAGACAACCTTAAAGATCATCTAGTTCTTCTGCTTAATTTTACAGACAAGCAAATAAGGACCCAGTGAAGTAATGGTAATGCCCAAGTTCATTCCTTTGAAGATTCCTGGCCTCCAGTTAATGTATTTGTAAACAAATATTTGTAGGCAAATACTCATTTGCTGCTGTCGTTTCTTGAGATAATTCTTGAGGGTTTTTTTTTTTTGTGCTTTGCCAAGGGGAAGGTCTTTTCCCTGGCTTAACACTGAGGCAAATGTTGCTAGGAATTACAGGTGATTTGGTGTTCCTGTTTAATTAGCAGGTGTAATATAATTAATCATCTCTCTCTCTCTCTCTCTCTCTCTCTCTCTCTCTCTCTCTCTCTCTCTCTCTCTCTCTCTCTCTCTCTCTCTGTCTTTTTCTCTCTCTCTCTTCTTCTCAAGACTTTCTTTGATTTCAGTGCAAAAAGGAAACTGTGCAGTGTACGGCTCCAGCTTCAAAGGCTACATAGAGAATTGTTCAAACCCAAATACTTACATATGTATGCAGAAGGTAATTCAGTCTAATTGTTATTACTAGAACACACGGAATTAAGACAATGGAAATACAACACTGCTTGAATATTCTCCATGAAGAACTTTTTTTAGCATTGAGCATCAGGATCTCTCACCCCCTAACTTCAAAACTTCTCAAAGTCCTCTTCTCCAGATTCAGGAAAAACTTATTCCTCAAGTTGTGATGCAGAATGCCAAGAGGTGATGACTAAAGATATGAGCAGATGCAAACAAAAGCCACCATCAGATCCAAACAGGAAATTCTGGTTACTGAACAATGTGAGATCATTGGCTTCTCACCCTAACCCTATCCTCTTAGGAAGTAGTCTGTGTCTACTCAGAGCAGGAGTTTTTAATTTTGTGTGTGTTCTGGACCCTTTTGGCAGTCTAGTGAAATATTTGGACTCCTCAAAATAATGTTTTTAAGTGCATGAAATAAGACACATAGGAATGCAAAGGAAATCAATCATGTTGAAATAGTTATTAAAATATTAAATCCTTATTCACATTTTTTCCTATCCATTCCTTCTAGCATAACAGATATCCTCTTCCACTCTACAATTCTACTTGCGGTACATATAGATAGTATCTGTCTGCCTACAAGAGAGGGATGGAGATACAGAGTGAACTGACCAAGAAACTTCGATATAGACAGAAGATGATAGCAAGGACAATTCATGAAAGATGAACATGAAAGCCTGATAAGGTCCTATAAAGTAGTATCAAGAGCACTGAGGATTAGAATGAACTCACACTAGTGAGAAGAGCTAACAATAACAAAAAGAGGTTTATTTAGCTATCTTGGGGAGGAAAAAAAAGGATCAAAGAAAGAGTAGGAGTGCAGCTTGAAATGAATGAGACAATAGTTAAAAACAGAAAGAAGGAAGAGTTGTTTTACTTCGTATTTGGCTTCTGTTTGCTGTACCAAGGAGATCTTTTCCCTGATTCTACACTGAGGCAAATGTTGCCAGGACTTATTCCCAGAACTTACCACTCCCTGTTCTGTAGCCAACCATGCAGTTGTGTGCCTGGTTTATATTTCTACGATTGCCCAAGTTCTTAATAAAAGAAGGAAGCTCTTCAATACTCACATTCATTGGCTAATCACCCCTACTCCAGCTATGCTGGGGAAAGTTGCTAGTTGGAGTAGCTAATTATAGAAATTATGATTGGTTTGAAGTCTAGGGTTCTCCTCAGCAAGGAAGAAAGTAAGAAAAAACAGTATCCAAAGAAAAACATTAATCAGTTTTGGAATAGAATATTCAAACAGAAAAGAGAAGAGGGAGGAAGATACAAACTATAGGCTAGTGAGTTTTGCTTTGATCATTTGGAAAATTCTAGAATGGATCATCAAAGAAATTGTTATTGAGAATCTAGAAGGTATTATAAGAGTCTAGCATAGTTCAATTAGGAATAGGTGATATCCTAATACATTGTTAGTGGAGCTGTGTATTGGCACAACCATTTTAGAAAACAATTTAGAATTTTCAAATAAAGTGACTACCTTTTGAACCAGAGACTCCATTAGTGAACTTATACCCTAAGGTCCTCACGTACACAAAAACTTTTGTAGCAGTGCTTTTTGTGATGTCAGAAAATTAGAAACAAAGTAAATATTCATTGATTAGGAAATGACTAAAATCCTGGCATGTGAATATAATGGTATATTAAACTATTAAACTATGCATATTTTGATAATGCAATACCACTATTAGGTTTATACCCCCAGTAGACCAAACAAAAAGGGAAAATATCCTTTATCTATAAAGTATTTGTTGAAGTTCCTTTTGAGGTAGTAGAGAATTGGAAGCTGAGGGGATGCCCATCAATTAGGAAATGACTGAACAAGTTATGATATATTACTGTGATGGAATACTATTGTGCTATAAGAAATGATTAAAGGGATAGTTTCCAAAAAACCTGGGATATGATGCATATATGAATGGATGCAAAGTGAGCAGAATTAGGAGGAAAATTTACATGATAAGGTCAATATAAAGAGAAGCAACTGTGAAAGACTTAGTAACTCTGACCAACACAATAGCCTACCACAGTTTAAAAGTCCCAAGATGAAACATGCTGTCCACTTCCAGATGGAGAGCTGATGGACTCAGAGTATAGAATGAAGCATATTTTTTTTCTTTCATTTTCATCTTTTTTTTTCTAGAACCTGGCTAATGCAAAAATTTGTATGACTATACATATTTATAAAGGGTTCTATATTTCTTGTCTTCTCAATGAGTGGGGGAGGGAGAAAATCTGAACTTAAAATAATATTGAGGGGAAAAAAGGTCTCTCTGTCAAAGGAATATATTTGGTAATGAAGGCTATGTAAAGACAAAAGATTAATAAAAATAAAAAGTAGGCCATCCCAATCTAATCTTATTTACTTTTTGAAAATAGACAAACACATACATGTATGTATATATGTGTGTGTGTACATATATGTATGCATAGACTATATATGTGCTTTTTAACACATTGCTAAAATCAATGTAAAACTATATATAGTTTTATATATATTCTTGTGTAAAGTTATAGATTAATGATATACAGTTAAATGGATTCAGAACTGGTTGAAAGGTTGAGCGCAAAGAGCAATTATTAATGATTCACTGTGAATTTGGAAGGAGGTTTCCAGAGACATGGCCTAGGGATCTATTGGTTCTATGCTATTTAACACTTAAAAATAAACCAATGATTTAGCTAAAGGCATGGATGACATGCTCTTCTAGCTGTGAGAGGATACAAATATATAAGGGAAAACCTAACAAACTGGAGAACAGTGAGAATCCAAAATGATCTTTACACGCTCTTAGAGCATTGGGCTGAATCTAATGAGGAGAAATAAAAATAAGGATAAATGTAAAGCCTTGCACTTGGTAGAAAAAAAAAATCAATTTCCCAAGTACAAAATATGAGAAACATGGTTAGACATCAGCTTATATGAAAAGGATTTGGAATTTTAGTGGGCATAAGCTCAGTATGAGTCAGTAGTACAATGTAGTACCCCCCAAAAAACTAAGAGAGGCCTAGCTTCTAGGAATAAGGAAGTTTTATTGCCTCTGCACTCTATCTTTGTCAGATCGCAGCTGGAATACTGGGCCCAGTTCTAGGCATCACAATTTATTGATAACCTGGAGGAGAAAGCCTAGGATAATGAAAGGTGTTTCATGCCATATTAGAATTAGTTGAAGGAATTAATGCAATTTATCTTGGAAACTATGGGCAGCCGTGGTACCTGTGTTCAGATACACAAATTCAGAGGCATCTTTGACTCCCCATTGTCCTTTGTCTCTATTGTTGCCAATAGCCAATCATTCACAAAGTCCTATTGACTCTTTCTCCCCAGGATCTGTTATATCTGTGCCTTCCTTACCATTTCTAATGTCATTAATCTTGTTCAATCCCTTATTATTTCGCAGAATCACAGATCTGGAAAGTTGGAAGCACCCTTAGCTTCCCATCCACCAGCTAATCCCATCCATCCATGAAGGAATCTCTACTATGACATGGCCAACAAGTGGTTGGCTCCTTCAATCAGTTCCTCATGTGACTTGGATTCAGGGACTTTGCTCTCCTGATCGCCCTCCTCTTGACAATCTCCAGCTTTTCAATGTCCTTATTAAATTGTAGTTCCCAGAACTTAACACAATACTCTAGCTTAGATCTGATAAAAAGAGTAATGTGGGACTATTATCTCTCTTTTCCTGAAGATATACTTGTTATCTTGACTAGAAGCAGCTAGATAGCACAGTGAATAAAGCAATGTGACTGCAGTCAGGAAAACCTGAGTTCAAATCTAGCCTCAGACACTTACTAGCTGTGTGACCCTGGGCAAATCACTTAACTTCAGTTTCCTCATGGTCATAATAATAGGATCTGCCTCCCAGGGGTTATAAGAATGAAATGACATATTTGTAAACCACTTAGCACAGTGCTTGGTCCATAGTAGGTGTTTAAGAAATGTTTATTTACTTCCTTTCTGTTATGATAGCCAACAAAACAGTTACCCTGCCTTCAGTCTCTTTCCCACTCAATTTATCATATATTCCACCAGAAGATTTATAAAGTACAGTTTTTATCTCATCACATCATAGGTTATGTACCAAGATCAGGTTGGATCTATTCCAGGAATGCAGAATTATTGTGACATGAAGTATAAATATCATACATAAAATTAACAATAAAAATACATAATTATATCAATAGACGCTAGAAAGGCTTTTGCCAAAATCAATATCCATTTCTGTTTAAAAAAAATTAGAAAGTATAGGAATAAATAGACTTCTCCTTCATATAGTAAACTGTATCTACCTAAAACTATGAGCGAACATCATATGGAAAAAGATCTTTCCAATAAAATCATTAAGTTGCCCATTTTCCCACTAGTTTTTGACACAGTACTAGAAATGTTAGCTGTTGCAGTATGTCAAGAAAAATAAATGAAGAGAATAAACACATACCTCACTCAAAGAACTTGTTAAGAGCTAAGAATGGTTTTTTTTTGAGGATTTAAAGACTATTATCTCAAATTTGTAAAGAACTATACTGCTGGGCAGCTAGGTGGCACAGTGGATAGAATTCCAGCTTTGGAGTCAGGAGGACCTGAGTTCATATTCGGCCTCAGACACTTGATACATTAGCTGTGCGATCCTGGGCAGGTCATTTAACCCCAATTGCCTCACCAAAAAAGCAAAAAAACAAACCAAAAGAAAAAAAAAAGGAAAGGAAAAAAAATAAGAATCTCATAATATACAGGGGGCAGCTAGGTGGCGCAGTGGATAGAGCTCTAGACTTGGAGTCAGGAGGACCTGATTTCAAATCCAGTCTCAGACACATGACACTTACTAGCTGTGTGACCCTGGGCAAGTCACTTAACCCCAATTGCCTCACCAAAAAAGCAAAAAAAAAAAGCAAAACAAAACTATACTGCCGTTGTTAAACCACTGAATGATTTCACTCATAATTGAAGAGAACCAGAAGCAGAAAGGCAAGAAGCAGAAGGGCAAGACAGGCCAAATTGCTTTAAACTGTATGATTCCCTTTGGAGATAATTAGAAAGACTTTCAAATGTGAACAAAAGCTTTTAAGGCTTAGTCAATTTCATCACATTTGCTCCAGTGCCGTCCTTTGTAGATTCAAGTAAGCTTTCTGTCCTATATAAGTAAGAGTTTGGGAGCAGCATTATTCCCAGAGAATGATGGTCACTAGAAACTGATTGCAGAAGACTTAGTGATAATGGCACTTCTTGTCTCAGGCACAAATTAGACTTCTTAGCTTTGAAATAGGCTGTCATTGAAAAGTTCAGAGACTATGTGTATAGAGCTAAATTTCAGATGAGACTGACAACTTATTGATGTATCTTTAACAGTAACAAGTGTTGTTTGCTAAGATGGGTAGCAGCACAAGTTACCTATGACTTCAACATATACTGACATCTAGGGAAAACTAATGTGAATGTAGATGCTCTGTCCTAACAGCCATGTAACCAAAGCTACAGTGATACCTAAGGAAGAAGTAAAAACTATGTGTGATATTCAGGCAGTTTTGCTGTTGTTGTTTGTCCTTCATTCTCGAGGAGAACCAATGACATCAGGAGGGTGATGTCTTATCTTGCATGTAAATTGGATATAAGTGAGGCTGAGCTGTGCACAGGCATGAGCTCCACTTTCTCCTCCAGAGTCATCAGAGCCTGGTGACAACAATAGATCAGGACAACTGACAATGGTCCAGCATCCAGACAGTCAGGCTACAATCCAGTGACAACATAGCTGGGAATTTGTACCTTCCAGCAAACAGCAGTTTATGTGAACTCTGTTTCGTTAAACCTTTGCCTCAATTACCTGTGGATCACCAATCACAAGATGTCTAATAAAAAAGACTGTGAAAAGTAACACAAGATAAGAAACAAGGTAGCACTGACATATGACCCATGTTTCATTCACAACCATTTGAAAAAGTATTCAAAGTCACTAATAATCAGTGAAATACAAATTGAAATACTTCTGAGCAATGACACACTCACAATATTAGCAAAGATGGGTAAAAATAAAATTCACGGTTGAAGGGATTGTGGGGTGATAAGTACCCTAATTCACTTCTGGTAGAACTGTGAATTGATCCAACTGTTCTGGGAAACAATTTATAATCATGTAAGAAATGTTACTTGATTATAACTTTAAAATGACCTGTTCTAATGTGTCCTCCATGCCCTGCTTAAGTTGTGATCTTATAGTTAAGAACAGATATCACTTAGTTTTATTCCCAGCTCCACTACCCTTTGTAATTTCACAGTTAACATTTGACATCTAATTTTGAATGAGGGTGCAGCAGAGTCCTTTCCACTTAGCTTGCCATATAAGAATGTTTTCCAAATGAGTCATGGGATTGGGGTGGGCAGGGGTAACTTTCCATTGTTAAATAAGTGTAGAATTCTCTTAATTCAGTATGTTCTCTGAGGAATCCTGTGGACTACATTGAGGGACATGGCTGCCTGTTCATACGAAGGGGTCAGAATCCCCTCATTTCAAACTCTTGCCTTCCAATGAGAAATAAGAAGAATTGTCACCACTGGAGAGAAAAATAGCTTTGGTCCTTAAGAAAGGATACATAAATAGAAACAGATGATCCACCCACTTTGACCGGAAATTGTAGGCATGGCCTTACGAAGGTTTTTTGGAGTGTTTGCTCTTGACCCTCTAACTCCACCCCCCTTTTATTTTTCATTTCCAGTTATCCATGAGTTGGGAACAATCTGAATTATCTCTCATGAGTTTTACCTCTACCTAAGAATTCACTCATTCATTCAAGAAGTAGTTATGGAAAACCTTATGGAAGGTACTGTGCCAGGTGCTGAGAATACAATGATAAACCAAAAAATAATAATAAAAAAATGGGAAGATGTGAAATACATTGAAGTCAAATAGGAAGCAAAAGAATAATATACATAATAAACACAATACTGTAAATAAAAATAATAAAAGGCTATAAAAAGAATAAATACAAGGGACAATGTTGGCACTACTTTTTTAAAAAGAGAAGAAGTTATACAGGCAGTAATTGTATTTGTTAGCTGTTCCGTTGTCACCCGCAGCTCAGAGTCCACATGACTCACTAATC